TTCACGTGATGATAGTGTGTAACTTTACGATGAGGCGACATACGGATTTCAGTCCGTTTAATTTCACGCCTTCGATAGATGGGGCGGTAGTCGGAAAAATATTGCAAGAGGAGGAAATTAGTTTTTCAACGAGATCAACTGATAACCATAAGAAGTTGATCGTGAGAAGTTTTGACTTGTTTATACTTCTATCTATCTATCTATCTGATCGTTCATTCGTTCGTTCGTTCGTTTGTTTGTTCGTTCGTTCATTCATCCATCCATCCATCCAACCATCAATTCGTTCCTCAATTCATTCATCATTTAATCCATCTATTCCTCCATCCATCCATCCATCCATCCATTCATCCATCCATCCATCCATCCATCCATCCATTCATCCATCCATCCATCCATCCATTCATCCATCCATTCATCCATCCGTCCATCTATCCAGAGACTAACATTTCCGGCGGACCTCAGTAACTCGTCCTCCTGTAGCCCCCAGTTGACCATGCGTTCGAACCTGGTCGAGGAGATGAACTGCATCAACTGCGATGCTATGACCACTCTTCTAAACATCAGCCGTATCCTTTTTATGATGGAAACGATGGAAACGATGATGACGATGATGATGGTGATGGTGGGACGATGATGATGACGATGGGGACAAGATGATGATGACGACGATGGGGACATTGATGATGACGACGATGATAATGATAAAGATGATGATGATGATGGTGCGGACGATGATGATGATGATGACGATGGGGACATTGATGATGACGATGATGATAATGATGATGATAACGATGATGATGATGATGAAGATGATGGTCATAATGATGATGACGCTGTTGTTCTTGTTGTTGGCGATGATGACGATGAAGACGGTGAGAATGATGATAGCTTTGATAATGATGATTGCCAACTTGGCCACTATAACTATGGTAACAACCTTAAAAAAAATACCAAAAATTTATACCAACAACAACTACTACTACTACTACAACAACAACAACAACTACAACAATAACTACAACAACAACAATAATAATACTAATAAAAATAATGGTGTTGTTGATAACGAGGTAGAGTTCAACACGACCTACTGCCGACTTGTTAAAATTGAAGTATCCTATTTGTTATCTGACAATGGTGACTTGTGTTTCATTAACACACATACACACACACACACACACACACACACACACACACACAAACAAACAGCCACACACACATACACACACACACACACACACACCCATACCTACACACACAAGCACATGTGTACGCACACACATACATGAACACACAGTAAAATGACGAAGCGTGTCCTTGACATGATATGCAATCAAATACAAAGACAAACATTCATTACTACTATTCACACACACATACAGTTAAAAATAAATATACACATCTACAAATTATCACACACACATACACACGCTTACAGAGGTGGTTTCAGACTAAATAACTTATAACATATCATTACTTAACTATAGACACACACAAACACATACACGCATTCACACATACTTGTTCACACATACACACAAACACACACACAAACACGCACACACACACAGAACACAGAATAGTCATCAACCTCCTAATCATCCTTCTCATCACATTCTGCTCTCTTCCGCTCATCGTTGCTATCTACATCAGACATAGTTGAGTAAACTACTTTATTTTAAATTTGATTTTATCATTTTTTTTTTATTTTAAAAATTTTTTCTCATTACTTTGCAATTTTTTAACGGATTTTTTCACTAAAATCGGTTGAAGCTTGTGAAATAACCTTTAAAAAATTTTAAATATTCATATCCCAACTACGTCCTGACTTACTACAAACCCAAATTCAGAGTAGAGTAGATGGGGGTTTTTTGCGGTTCTGTCTCGGGACTCAAAAACTAAAGGGCCTTTACATTGAAAATAATAAAACATCAAAATTATCTCGAGTCAGCAACTGTAAAAACAATTGCGTCTGTCAAAGTATGGTACCTATTACCAGCTGATTTGACGGATGTCAGCTGTGATGTTCTCAAGAGCCGATTGAAACATAATTTTCTCAACAAAATGTAACATGTTTATTAGCTTTCCTGATAATCCAATCATTTCGGGAAGACTTAACTAAGGAAAATTGATCTTTTGATTCTGAATATAAACAAAGTCTTCTTTACTCCCATTTTCCAGGATCTCCACTTCCCACTCCTCCGTATCTAGTCCCATTTTTAACAATATTATCCAACTCTAGATTTTAAATTATATATAACATATACACATTTATATACACAAACGATATAATAATTCAACCTATAATTATTTATCAATTGCTATTACAACTCTCATTTTAAAGTTAATGAAATAAAAACCAGAAAAAAAACTTCCAAATCAGACCAGGGGAAGTATATTTCCACTGTAGACCAACACGACTACTACAATGATGAGAATTCATTTGCAATGGATTTCGCCAGCACATCAAACGCTTGTCGCACATTCATAGCCGTCCTCTGTAGTTGGTTCTATTTCAGAAGTAATTACTATCATTAGATAATTATTACCAATAATTAGCAGAGGTGTGTCCAAAAGACAATTAGAAATGAATCGTTGTGAAGTTTGCTGGGATTCAGGTTGTAGTGAAGAAAATGTCTATCCAAATTTATACTGTTAACTGTTTCAATATTTGAGTTAATTGTCACTAAAAATTCACAAGACAGAGGTTTTGTTGAAAAATTTGAAGTAAAATGTGATTTAGGCAAATATCGGTTTTGATTTAGGTGTGATTTTAGTCAGGTATTCGGGCTGAGTGGTTTATTAATGCTTCGATGGTTTTGTTAAGCAGACAAATGATTTATTTTTTGATCTATAAATTATTCGAAATTTTATTATAAATTCGCCATAATTATATATTTTTAATCGTCGTTGTCATGGCATATTCTATATATATATATACTAAATCTATATATATATATATATATATATATATATATATATATATATATATATATATATACTAAATTACTACAGATGAATCAGTTTTTAAATATTTTTTACACAACATTTTAACTGGTTCGTTAGTTAGCCTACATGTGATTTCAACTCACTCATTGAATTCTTCATAATTAATATTATCCGATTTGATTTAACGAAATAAAAAATGTTTAATTTCAAACTAAATGAGAGGTAACATGCTGTGATTTTCATTCATTGATTGTCTGACAGTCTAATCCAATA